TGACCCCCACCCAATGACAACCCTGGGAGAGCCTGGTTGGTACCACTTCCAGGCAGTAGCCTGGTCACAATGGTCTAGCAGATTCCAACTTAATTCTAGTTCAGCCATCTGGTGTATCTTGCTGAACTGACATCTTAGATCTTAAAAATAATGACCACTTGGTTGAGTATACTGCTTGCTAGGTACACTTAGGGAGGTCCTTGTGAGCTAAAATGGAAGACACAATGGGTCTCTAAATTTTATAAAAATGCCCTGTCCCTGACCATTGCCAGGGAAAGGTCTAGGTAAGAGGAGGGGGTGACTGGAAAACAGGTGGCATTATAGCCACTAGAATGGGACACGCTGATTCTGTGGGGGTGCAGGGAGAACAACAACACTGCACCTGAGGAGAGAACTCCATAGACTCCAGGAGGTATGGAGGAGGAAGCGACATTAACGACTTTTGTCCTTCAGAACTGCCCGTAGAGAGCCTTCCTCAGATAGGAAAATGCTCTGATGAAGCTCTCCCTGGCTGTTGCAAGCAACTTTAAATTGATTGCTGTATCTGTCATCCCCTGCCAGATGGCTCTGACCAGTTTGATCACCACTTCCCTTAACTTTACTAGGAAGTCTTTTAAGAAAGTAGGGGGTGGGCAAGTTCCTGCACGTCCCATACGAAACACTAGATGTTTGGCCCCTACCATTCCCAAAGCTGAGGCACAGTTCATGGCGTGGATGATTGTCACTCAACGTGACAGAGGAGCCTGAACCGACTGCCCTCACAGTTCCTGCAAAACCAAGGACTAAGCTCAATCATTCTAACTGAAAAGGGGAGGCCACACTGGAGGCAATGTCCCCTGTGTTCCCAACTGATCAAGACACCACTTTGTGGGTCCAAACAATTATGAACACTTTCTTTCCAAAGAACCTATATGCCCTTGGGACTATATTTCTTGTGTGGAAGTCAGGTACTCACTTTCTAAAAATATGACTTGCACCTCAGGGGCAGGTAGAAGAGACCATCCAGTGTTTAAGGAAACACCACTAGATCAGTTTACTTCTCATGATTGTGGAAGTATCTCCAAACCAAGGCTACCCTTGGTTACTGGAGGACTGACTGATTATTTTTGTGTGCCCTACAGGCAGTTTTCCCTATGATGGAAATCATCCAAATAAAAAGGTGGTACAAAATTTGTGCCCGACTGAAGCTGATGTGACCAATGACAGCAGTTGGGCTCTAGAAGGCATTTATGTCAGCCTCAAATCATTTGCCAGGGTTATTATAGATGACATACTTGCCCTAGACTTCCTCCCTGTGGGCTAATGTGGAGACTGTGCAATTGTTAGAACATCTTGCTGTACTAAGATTAATGCTTAGGGCTAAGTGGAAAAGTCAATACAGAAACTAAAGGAGGAAACCACCTGGCTTTCTGAGGATTTGTTCAGTTGGCTGAGTCCAGGACCTCAGAGGAATGGGTACATGGTTAAGCTCAGCACTGCAGGGTGGCCACGTCCTGCTGCTCAGAGTTCTGATAATTGCCTTAATTAAATCCAGTGTGAGAAAACTGAATGGATTAGTTCAGTCCCTATTGGTCAGATTAACCAGAGCAGTCATAGAGTGATGTACTCATAATAAAATTCACCAGCAGTTAAAATAATACAGAAGCAAGGATATTCTTAGGAGACAACTCTCCAAGAATCCTTCATGTTTCTGCATGTCTTGGAGACAAAGACACTGGTAGCCTTTTGTTCTGGACTATCATTCCAAGGTTTGTAGGACAAATAGCCTTAGAAGATAGAGCCTGTCTTACTCCAGGGTGGAGGACAAGTTCATCTACTGACTTCATTTATTGTCCAGTATAATAAAGATAATGGCCCCTCTGGGACAAAGGTCAGGCAGGTTTGCTTAGAATGTATTATAAAAGATACAGGTTTCCTAAAGCTGAGAGTTCCTCCACTGTGATGCAAACCGCTGTGAGCACAGCACACACCTAGACCACCATGTCATCCCAGTGGCACTTGGGTGAGGGGTAACATACGTGTGCGGCGGTTGGGGAGTGCGGCAGTGCCAAGAAAAACTGATACATACATGAAGCTTATGATGTGAGAGAAATAAAGTTCTTTCTCTCTGACAAGAGTCTCATGTCTTTCACCAAACTGTGGCAGGCTAACTTATTAACTTGTTAAGGATAAAATCTCCGACGCTTCACAGTTCTTGACAATAACCCAATTTTTAAAATGGGCAAAAGTATTTTAACAGACACCTCACCAAAGAAGATATAAACAGGTGACAAAAAAGCACATGAAAAAATGTTCAACATCATTAGTCATCAGGGAAATGCAAATTACAACCACTATGTACTTACCAGCACAGCTAAAATGAAAAAGCCTGGTCATACCAACTATTATGAAGAGTATACAGCAACTGGAATTCTCATACACTGCAGATTGGAATGTAAAATGGCACACCATTTTGGAAAACAGTTTGGCAATTTCTTAAAAAATTAAACATGTTCACCATACAACCCAGCTTTTTCACAATTAGGTATTTACTGAGAGAAATGACAGCTAACATTCAAAGACAGGTACACAAATATTCATAGCCACTTTAACTGTAATAGCCAAAAACTGGAAACAATCTGAATGCCCATCAATAGGAGTCTATCCATATAATGGAATATTATTCAGTGATAAAAATGAAATAGTAATACCCACAACATGGATGCATGTCTAAAACATAAGTAAGCTAAGTGAAAAAAGTCAAACTACACAGTTCCTATTGTTTAGAAACAATCCATTTATATGAAATTCTAAATACAATAAAACTACAGTGATAAAAATCAGACCAGTGGTTGCCTGTGGATGGGGATCAGGGTCAACTAGAGTCATAAGGAAACACAAGGTGATGGAAATGTTCCCACATCTTGACTGTGGTAGTCATTACACCACTACATACAATTTAAAAAACTCAATTTACCTACACTAAAATGGGTGAATTGTATTCTATGTAAATTACACATCAACAGGCTGGGGAGGAAAATCTAAAAGGCAACTGCTGCTTCCTAATAATTAACAAGAACATTTTCATACCCAACTTTAAAACAATGATGGAATTCCAGCAAAGCAAAATAGGTCCTAGTATTTTTTCAGTGTCATTTCAAAAAAGTTTACACTATATTCCAAAAATACTTGCATATGGCAAATGTGAGAAGAGCACTTCATTCACCTTCTGTATCTGCAAAATAGTTATGCAATAATTTTCTCATTATGAAGTAGCCTTGTATTCCTAAATTGTATCATTATAAATAGCCAATATGCAATACTGTTTTCTTCTTGTCTTTAGAGTATACTGCATACCTAACTGGTTCAATAACAATTCAACATTTTACTGTATTTATACTGAAGAGCACTGATGGTTATAATTACCGTAAGGCTCCAGTCTTACCATAATAAGTCCTTTAAAAGGTTCTAAACTAGCATGTAAAAACAGCTGTAGCTGGGTTGTCCTTCCCTCCCAATGACCATAGAGATGAATTCAATTAAATGCCTCATAAATCCAACCTAGGCCACTGTCCTAGAACATATTCCACTGCTCTTTTGCCAAGGACTTTCCCCACAGAAAGACACTACTCACTTATGTACAGCAAAGGAACCACACAGACAGAACATTTTTTTTAGAAGTTTCTCTCCAGGATTTAACCACAAATCAGGTATTGTCCCATCCATATATATTCCCCTTAATCAACCTCTTTTTTGAGAAGTATGACTTCATCAGGTATACATTCTCACACCTCTTTTCTGCAGGAGAGTACTGACCTGGTTTTAACTGGTATGTACCCATCCATCCATCCACAAATATTTACTACACACTGAAGTGCTAGGCACTAGGCATCAGAAACATATATACAGCAAGCTCTCATCAGAAAAGTTTAATCATGACCCGTCACTAAACTGATTAAAAGCTCATTAGGAAAAACCGTACTTATGGATGATTATAGTTATATTATGTCTTATTTTAAGTTGTGTTTTTTGGTTAAACCTCACCAGAGAGTAAGACCAAAACTACTATGCCCCATTTGACACTCAGTTTACTGAACTGAACTTCAGTGCCATGCTAATGATCTAATGACTATCATAAAAACAGAGCCAGGAGATAACAGTGGTTCATTTAGTGTATTGTGTCAGACACCATGCATTACACTTTACATGCATTAATTCATTTAACCCTTACAAATAATCTTGTGGTAGGTACCAATATTATCACACTTCCCCATTTGACAGATGAGGAAACTGAGCTGCAGACAGAAAGGTGAGTAACTTCACTAAGGCCACAAAGTAGAGCTATTAGGTAGGGTATTACCCAGGCAGCCTGACTCCAGAGCTCTCGTTCTTAGTTGCTATATTATAATGCCACTATTCATTATGTAAGATGTTGAGTCTCTGTTCATCATATCATTTAGTGTTTTCGTAACACTTCCTACAGGAAATTTTGTATTTTAATACTAGGAATGTCTCCTAATATTGATTTGCTCTCATCTTATAACCATGAATAATGTAACTGAGATTTTTTTTTTCTCTCTTTACACTAGGTACTTCTGGAAGCTAGATTACAGAGTAAATGACATGCATTCTGGTTACCATATTCTAACTTCACTGATTATCACTCCCATCTGGTCTATTTATCTGCACCAATTTCCTCACTTATTTTTAAATAGCACTATATGTCAATCTTTGTAAGCTAAACCATTTTTAGAATAAAGCTTGGTACAAATTATTGGCAAACTGAACCTAGAGAACTCCTTAAAGATGCCCCAGTTCTTACTGTGTCAGATACAAAAGATGCTACTTTAGTTATCTCAGCAGTTTTTACATAAAGACAAGAAAATCCAGTGTGAGGAAAATAACAATCAGGGAAATAACAATTCTTAATTTAAAAAAGTCAGGTTTTCATGACATGACATACAAATTCTTGACTAGCAGTCAGGGTGAACACTACTGAATATAAAGAAATAAATAATTACCTGACTTCAAGGGCTTTGATAGCTTCTAACATTTGTAGAAACTCTGCTGCTTTCCATACATCATTGGCTTCTTCTTCGCCTTGTATCATTAATTTTGCTGTATATGTGAACTCAATTAAATGACGAAAGGCCATTTTACTAACACCTGTAAAAAAAACGTGCACTGATTCAAAACTTGTAACATTTAGTAATGAAAAGAAAAAAAGCCCAGTGTTTGCAACTTTAGTATGAATTATTCCTGAAGATTATTCCTTGACAGAATTCTCATTTGTAGTATGGTAAGACTGTAGTGAAATCCAGCACTAACTAGCAAACAATTTTAAGATCTTTCTTCATCAACTCAGCTCTGTAGTTTGCTTTCCACTCTGCCTTTATTTCAAGGCCCTTCACATTATTTTTCTATTTACTATTTTCCCTTCCAAATTTTAAACTATATCAAACACACACTACATAGATAACCTTGAACAAACTCCTCACTTTCCAAGAGCTTCTTTGCCTTACATTAATACCTTCCATCCCGAATGCTTAAGCACTTTATCTCTAATTGCATAAATCCTATACCACCCTTGAAAGCCCAATTCTAATGCCACATCTTTAATGAAACCTTCAATACTTCCTCCAGACTGAACTCTGAACCTGTTCTGATCATTACAATTCACGAACATCTCTTGACTGTAAGCTACTTGAGAGAAATATTTTGTCTCTGTACATTCACCTCACAGTACCTAACACAATGCTTCTTAAAATACAGGCACATAACTTAGGAATAAAGTCACTTTCGAAATTAAGCTTCAAAGATTCCTACTTTTCTTTGCTTCAAAAAGCTACTGACAGGAATGGAGAAACAACTTTTAACATTTTTATGCTAAGAATATTATGCTAAGAAAGGCCAAGTCCAAATTGTACACGATATGCACAATTCCAAACAGAAAACCATTTTTATGTTCTTCTCATCAACTTTATACACCTAAATGTGGCCTTCAGGACACAGTAAAATAAATACTGGTCGAATAGCCACCACTGTCTATGTAAAGAAAGGATTATCATTCAGAACGTTCAAATTTAGTCCTAGCTCTACATGATCTATGTGATTTTGGGCAACTCAGAAACTCTAAGCCATAGCAGACTTATGTTTAAATTGTCTGAAAGCAATCTAAATATTGAGAAACACCTTAAAATGTAATGTAATGTGACCAAGTTAATGTGCTACCAAATAAGCAAAAAAATAAACCAAATTAGATTCACTGAAGGCTAATTTTATTTGGATCCCCCTAAATCTTTCTTACTGGTCTTTTGACAATGTTATTCTTTATCATATGAAAGTAGCTAAAGACAACTAGATTTTGCTGGAGTTTTAATCAAATGTCTAAAAGCACAACTCAAGTAATTCATTCATTCATTCATTTATCTATCTTACCTATTTATCTACTTATTTATTTATTTATCTATCCATCTATTTATTTAATTATATATTTTTATTTTATCATTAATCTACAATTACATGAAGAACATTATGTTTACTAGGCTCTCCCCTACCCCAAGTCCCCCACACAAACCCCATTACAGTCACTGTCCATCAGCGTAGTAAGATGTTGTAGAATCACTACTTGCCTTCTCTGTGTTGCACAGCCCTCCCCTTTCCCCCACCCCCCACATTATACATGCTAGTCATAATACCCCCTTTCTTTTTCCCTACCCTTATCCCCAACTACCCTCCCATTCTTCCCAGGCCCTTTCCCTTTAGTAACTGTTAGTCCCTTCTTGGGTTCTGTGATTCTGCTGCTGTTCTGTTCCTTCAGTTTTTCTTTGTTCTTATACTTCATATATGAGTGAAATCATTTGGTATTTGTCTTTCTCTGCTTGGCTTATTTCACTGAGCATAATACCCTCTAGCTCCATTCATGTTGTTGCAAATGGTAGGATTTGTTTTCTTCTTATGGCTGAATAATATTCCATTGTGTATGTGTACCACTTCTTCTTTATCCATTCATCTGCTGATGGACACTTAGGTTGCTTCCATTTCTTGGCTATTGTAAACAGTGCTGCGATAAACATAGGGATGCATTTGTCTTTTTCAAACTGGGCTGCTGCATTCTTAGGGTAAATTCCTAGAAGTGGAATTCCTGGGTCAAATGGTAAGTCTATTTTGAGCTTTTTGAGGAACCTCCATACTGCTTTCTACAATGGTTGAACTAATTTACATTCACACCAGCAGTGTAGGAGGGTTCCCCATTCTCTACAACCTCACCAACATTTGTTGTTGTTTGTCTTTTGGATGGTAGCCATCCTTACTGGTTTGAGGTGATATCTCGTTGTGGTTTTAATTTGCATTTCTCTGCTAACTAGCGATGTGGAGCATCTTTTCATGTGTCTGTTGGCCATCTGAATTTCTTCTTTGGAGAACTGTCTGTTCAGCTCCTCTGCCCATTTTTTAATTGGATTATTTGCTTTTTGTTTGTTGAGGTGTGTGAGGTCTTTATATATTTTGGATGTCAACCCTTTATCAGATCTGTCATTTACAAATATATCCTCCCATACTGTAGGCTACCTTTTTGTTCTACTGATGGTGTCCTTTGCTGTACAGCAGCTTTTCAGCTTGATGTAGTCCCACTTGTTCATTTTTGCTTTTGTTTTCCTTGCCTGGAGAGAGATGTTCATGAAGAAGTCGCTAATGTTTATGTCCAAGAGATTTTTGCCTATGTTTGTTTTAAGAGTTTTATGGTTTCATGACTTACATTCAGGTCTTTGATCCATTTCGAATTTACTTTTGTGTATGGGGTTAGACAGTGATCCAGTTTCATTCTCTTACATGTAGCTGTCCAGTTTTGCTAGCACCATCTGTTGAAGAGGCTGTCATTTCCCCATTGTATGTCCATGGCTCCTTTATCGAATATTAATTGACTATATATGGTTGGGTTAATGTCTGGAGTCTCTAATCTGTTCCACTGGTCTGTGGCTCTGTTCTTGTGCTAGTACCAAACTGTCTTGATTACTATGGCTTTGTAGTAGAGCTTGAAGTTGGAGAGTGAGATCCCCCCCCACTTTATTCTTCTTTCTCAGGATTGCTTTGGCTATTCGGGGTCTTTGGTGTTTCCATATGAATTTTTGAACTATTTGTTCCAGTTCATTGAAGAATGTTGTTGATAATTTGATAGGGATTGCATCAAATCTGTATATTGCTTTGGGCAGGATGGTCATTTTGACGGTACTAATTCTTCCTAGCCAAGAGCATGGGATGAATTTCCATTTGTTAGTGTCCTCTTTAATTTCTCTTAAAAGAGTGTCTTATAGTTTTCAGGGTATAGGTCTTTCACTTCTTTGGTTAGGTTTATTCCTAGGTATTTTATTCTTTTTGATGCAATTGTGAATGGAACTGTTTTCCTGATTTCTCTTTCTATTCAAGTCCTTTTTAAAAGCAGTGTGTAAAATTTTTCCTTTAGTGGAATGAAATTTTGATTTTCAATTGAACACATATTTGTAATGCTTACTATATATATATCAAGTATTGTGATTCAATACTTTACAAGTATTAACTCATTTAATTCTCATAACCACCCTATATACTACTTACTGTTATAACCCCCATTTTACAGATGAGGACACTGGGGCATAGAGAAGTTATTAACATTGTGACTTTGGCAAATTACTTAAGTAAAAAAAGCATCAAACCCAGAGAGCCTGACTCTAAAGTCCATGATAAAGATTTTTAAAATAGGATGACGGCAGGAACCATTTTTGCTTGGAGGAGTATCCTATGTGTGGTCTCATTCAGTACAGGCCCACAATATCTTATTTATAACTCCAAAGTCCCTCAAATCTCTTACAACCAGAAGTTTTCCATAAATTTGGCAGCAAAATTTGATCTGAACTGACAGGAAGCTATTTATAGTCTTTATCCCACTTAAATATTGAGACACTGATGAAATATTGTTACAGACCCCACTGAGTATTATGTAATACACATAGTATATTATCTTTAGAAAATTCTAAAAATATGTAATTTCAAGAAACATCTGGCCTCCCAGGATCTGAATAAGGAAATGTGGATTTAGTTCCCAATCTTGGTTATCAGAATCCCCTCTAAGACTTAATAAAAAGCATGGATCCCTGATCTTTGGAATCAAAATTAGGATAGCAAACTGTCCATTATAAGACCCTAGGTGTTTCTTATTTGGCCAGTCTGACACTGGTCTTAGGAATCAACCACTGACCTAATTAGCTAACATGAACAAAACTGATAACACCTGCCCAGATAAGTGTTGACAGATGTACAGTTGGTAAAATATTTATTTTCTCTCAGGACTAGTTTGGTAACTTTCAAATCTCAGCCCATTTTCTCATCAATCCCTTATTCCTTTCATAATAGCAGTATTCAGGAGAATACAATTTTTAAAGTGACTAAGTGAAATTTTAATATGAACACCTTGAGTCATCTTTTTTCATTTAAGAAGAAGCAAACAGAGGGAGCATTCTGGAATATGTAAACATATAGAGTGAAGTCATTCATACTTTACAGATGGGGGTTCCATTTCTACCTAAAATGGAGAAAGCACACTACCCCCCTTCTTGTCCATTGATTACAACAAAATGTCCTGGGCAGAATACATAAAACAAACAGATAAGGACTCTAAAAAAATAAACAGAAGCAAGCAGACCAGGAGAGAAATCAAAACTCAAAGAACAGCAGTGAATTTCCTGGTTTTTATTTTCCTCCTACATGTCCCAGCTTAGACTTGAGTACAGCACAAATCTCATAACTACAGCAGGTACAGACATAAAAAACTCCTGGCTAGTGAACCAGGAAAGAGGATGGAGAGTATCTCGTTTTTATTTCTTCCTCTCATCCCTGCCTCAAGGCAAGCTCTAGTTCTGATGCTGCACACCTTGTGGCTGGAGGCCAGGCAGGCACCTAAATGCTAAGAGAAAGTTCTTTTTGACAGACAACTAGGAAAGAGACTATGATCTGAAGAGCATGGAAAAAATTATTATTTTTCTCTCACCACTTTGTCCAGGAAATGGATCCCACTGCGGGAAGTATATGACAGCAAAAAAAGACTAACCTCTATTTCCTGGCTAGAAGACCAGGAAAAGGAGCTCCTGGGAGCTAAAGTGCAGAGGCAACGTAACAGGGAGTGGGAGAAAGATCCTTTAAATCTGTGTATGCAGTCTCAAGCTCATCACCAAGCTGCAGACAAGTGGAACTGACCTAAGGGGGCATGGCAAAGGCTTTGAGAACTGCACTGTGATATGGACTACCACCCAGGTTGGCACACCTGTGACCTGAATAGCACAACAAAGATTTTGAAATCTAAATTGGAATTACATCCATAGCCACATAAGGCAGTCTGAACCTAACCAGGCTGACTGCCTACTAACAACAAATCAAAACAAGAAAAGCTACTGACGATTTTAACAGCACCCAGCATGTCATGACATTAATATTTAAAAATGTCTATGACATAATAAAAATTTACTTGACATTATTTTACAGGCTAAAAAAAAAAACGATTAATGCATGCTTTAAATATCCTTAATTTTGCTATGGAGGTACACTTTTCTCATAATATTCCTTTCTCTAAAAAAAAAAAAAAAAAGGAAGCCAATATTACACAACTGGAAAAAAACAGTAAAGCCAGGATTACAACTCATGCTTTCTAATTATGTGCCAGTGGCCTTCTCTAAAGCCAGGTGATCTGGCCAGATAGTATAGCAATCCCAAGGTTAAGGGCTTAAGACAATCAGCCAAAATTATTCTTTAAACCTGAATCTGGCAAAAAACATACACAGAAAGACCATTCCTACATTTTACTTTCTTGTCTATAGTTTAAATTACTGAAGGCTTGTGTATGCTGTACTATAATGGACATAGCAGGTCAGAAATACTAAGAGGTACAAGAAACTATCCCCAAATGGATTAGTCTCCAGAAGAAAAGACCCTACTTTTTCAGGTTAGTTCAGAAATACTTACTCACTCAGCAATACATATTCTAACCTGGGCGATTTATTTTTTGACTTTTTAAGATTCTGCTCAAAAGTAAACTCCTCTTTGAAATCTTTCCTAAGGTAGACTAAACCACTCACTCATTCACCCTCCTCACGTGGGACCATTCCACTACAAAAGTCTGCAACAGTTGTTGCCTTCCTTCGTTTACCTGGTGCCTAGTGATTAAATGAGCAAATTCTTTAGAAGGCTGTCTTATTCATCAAGTCTTCATTTCCTGGGTCTATACAGTACTTAATAAATAATAGGTATTCTGTTTGGTAAATAGCCCGTTTATTAAGCTTTGACAATGCACCAAATGTTTTGCCAGGCCCTCTGCATATGTTTTGTTTTGTTTTTTTTTTATCCATTCACGGCTGTTTACTTTATCTTTACCCCCATCCAGTCCCCCTTCCCAGATAATTTTGTGGCAAATATTAGTGAACATAGTTCATTTGTAAATATTTCATATGTATGTTTAAAAGATACTACGTATGTTATTTCAATTAATCATTACAATCCTACAAACCAAGTTTTGAGATGCAACTGAGATAACTTGCGTGGGGTCATACTGTACCTCAGATGAATAAACTGATGAAATCTTACTTTGTAGTAAGAACCAATACCATCTAGGTAGTTTGATTCTCACCTAGTAAGCTTTGCACATTTCCATTATGCCTGTGCCCTATCCATCACAGGTAATCAAGATTATCTATGAATATATCAGCTAGAATGCTAAATAAACTGGAATGTACCAAAAAAAAAAAAGGGGTATTCTTAACTCTATGTTTTCTTTACTCCCCAGGGCACCAAATTTTTCCAAGGGCATAGTGTTTCCAGGCAACCCATGCATAACAAAGAGTTATGCTCAGTATAAAAAAAAAAAAAAAAATGAAAACTCAAGAATCCTGAAAAAAGCTAAAATTCTGTATTCATGTAGGCAGTTTTGGATGGGGGGAGAGTTGGGGCAAGTACTGTGGTAGCAGAAGACAAAAGTATGGTAATTAAGAGCATAAACTGAATCCTCACTAGTTGGACAACCTTGGGTTAAGTAACCTTTTGGAGCCTTCAAAGGACTGTTGTAAACCTCAAATCATGCACATAAACTACACAGCACCTGTTACTTGGCAAGTTATTAATACCAAAGTCAACCAAGCATAAAAATCACTTTTTACTTTAAGGCAGTATCTACTGGATGACCTTTTTCATCCCAGACCTTCTATAACTACTAGATCTTCTGAATGGTACTTCAGTTCATCTTTCTTAGCCTTTTCTGTATTAGGGAAGCTCACTTCACACTGCATGTCATCTGTACCTTTGCTAATACAGAAGCCTCTACTGTCACCTGCAGCATCCCTACCAGTCTGAAACAAAAGACCACTGAACAAAGATCAGAATTCACTTTTTAATAATGTTTTCCAAAGACAATGATCACTGGTTTTAGCAATGGAAAAGACTCCTTTAAGAGATCAACATCTACCAACTAATGTAAGAGCTTTTCCTGGCAGATCATTTTACCAAGTACTTTACTGCAAGTAAGAATTCTCAGGTGTCAAAAGAACAATTTAGACAGTCACCTAATAACCACTGATGCCTGTTTCCCAGTACCTTAAGCTAAATTAACTGTCTAAAACTTCATCAATTACGTTTGCCAAGTATTGTATTTAGAACAAGTATTTACCTTCTATCTCCACCAAAGGTTCCTGAGTAAACTCCTGAAAGAATTTGTAGAAGAACTTACTGCAAGCAGCCAAAACAGCCTTGTGGGCCTTAAAATGGTGTCCTAGATACGAAAGAAAATAAAATCGCACATATTCACAAAAATCAAACATAAAACTATAAAACAAATTAGAAAATTATATAAAGTATAAAATGTCTTTATAAAATTATATAAATTACTGGACTCAAGTCAGAATATTCTTAGCAGCTATCTTGGCAAATTTTAATCTCAGATAAGAAGCGAGATCTTAACCTCTAAGATCTCATTTATTAAGTCATTTAATAAAGGCAGTCTACACTTTAGGAGGTAAGGCGCCTACCACTTCAAGAGTGAATGGCATATCCTATTCAGTTGAAACTGCTAAGTATAAACACGACACAAAAGGGCTACACATCATTTGAAAACAAAGGAAAAAGCCCACAGAATAAGCAGTATGGACGTATTTGCTATGGGAAACATTTTAATATGCCTAATTTGGGAAGCTCAATCGACAGCAGCTCTATAATAAAGAATAGCTTGCCTTGAGAAACCTGCTTTCACTAACTACAAAAGATACCCAAGCTCGGTTTGTCTCCTTTACTTTGATAACCTAAGTGTGGTAAAAGATATCAATTTTTAGGGGTTGTCAAAGGGGGTACCAGTGCTGCAAAGGACTCTAATATTCTCCCTCCAAGACCATTTGGGAAACCAAAAAGGATCAACATTTCCCAAATGACTGCTGTGAGCGATTCCTCAAAGTCGCTCATCAACAGAAGACTATTAACCAAACATTTAGAGACATCCTCCCTATCCCCACGCCGTCATATTGCACTCGTGTGCAATGGGAGAACTTCAAAAGGTTGCCAAGAAGTTAAGATGTGATGATTATGTTGAAAGCGTGATTGGTCAAGTAGCCTTCTGCAGCATGTCTATGTGAGTGCACACTGACAAGTGTCCTCGGGTCCCAGTGCACACCCTCCCCAGACCTTGTATAGGGAGTCCATCAAGGGTGGGTAAAAAGGAAGGGTGGGGAAAGGGAAGGGGAGATAGGAATTGAAGACACAGTTCGATCCTCTGCCCACCACCCTACCCACCATCGACAATCAGGGTGATGTCAGTAAACCGGTCCTGCTCTCGCTGTTCATTCAATCGGTCCAGGATCATTTTATGATGTTCAGGGAACTCCTGAAGGCATTCCATCGTCTCTTCGGCCTCCATGACCGTTCTACAAAAGAGGAGCATGATAATGTACACCCATGAGCTCGGGCTGGGAAACAAAACCCCTAAAGCGTAAAACAACAAAAAACAAAACCCCAGCAACGTGCAAAGAAGGGAGAAGGGTGGCGAGAGGAGAGGAAGGAGAAGGAAGAAAGGAAAGCGATCCGGGTGGCCGCCGCGCGTTGGGGGCCGGAGCCGCGGCCACGGGACTCCGAGCCTGACCTAATTGGAGTCGGGAGACGCGAGCTGAAGCGGGTGGGCAGAGCGCCGGAGGCTCCGGGCGCCGGGGCGCGCAAGTCCAGCAGAGGAGGGAACCCGAAGGCCACGGCGGCCCTCTAACGGGGCCAAGCTTTTCTGCCTTGCGCTGGCTCCCGCCGCCTCGGAACCCCGAACGGCCCGTGGGCCCACAACGACTCCGGGGTCGCCTCCCCCCAACCTCCTCCCTCCCCTTGCCACCCCCCCCTGCCCGGACCGGGCCGGCACTCACTCAGGGAAGGAGGAGCGGCCCGGGCCTGCGCGTCACTTACGTCTACGTGCTGCGTCAACACGACAGACTCCGACTGACGCGCGAACGTCTACCGAGCGCAGACCTTGGAGGGTGCAGGCCACGCCCACGCCCGCCCTCCGCTAGCAGGGGGCGGGGCCAACCGAGCGGATTTGGCGCTCTGCTAGGGTGAGGCCGCAGGCGCTGGGAGGGGGAAACCGGCGGCCGTGGGACTGGGCCAGCTCAGGGCCCGGCGGTGCTGGGGGCGGGATCTTAAATCACCGCCCTCCCACCTCACCTCCACGCCCGGCTGTCTCCAGGTGTGAACCGTTCTGCCCCGGCCCTCAGAATCAACTCGCCACCCGTTCCCCGCGTGCTTCCATTCAGCGGCTCCTCCAGCCTCGCCCCGCCCCCTTCCTCCCAAACCCTGGATCGGCCCTCCTTACCTAGCTCGCGATCCTCCCTCTCTCCTCTCCGTCCCTCAAAGCCTTTCCTTCCCTGCTCTCCCCTCTCAGGGCGGCACTCAACCCACACCTTCCCCTACCCCTAGATAGCGCCTCGCCCTCCATTTCCTCGCGAGTGCCCGGCTGCTCCTTCCGCTCGGGTCCGGCCGGTGCACGTGCGCTCGCTCCCGGACCAGGGCGGGCACGGGCGCGAGCACGTTCCGGCCGCCCGGGGTCGGCCTCCCGGGTGCCCGCCCTCTGGGCGCTCAGCAGGCGGTGCGTGCGGTGCTGGGCTCAGACCTGGACCTCCTTCGATTATTTACTTCATACTTATGATACTGTTAGTGCACCTCTCCACTCCCAATCTCCTGCCCTCCGCCCCGCGTTTAAAGAGGCCGGTGACCCAAAATTAGCCTCCGTGACCGGGCCATTCGTTCATTCGTCCGAAAAAAAATTGTTTTGAGACTAATGAGATCGTCAAGATTTACTTATTCTTGTCTCTTGAAAGAGAATGAGGATTAGAGAAGGATTTAGATAATGATATGCATGGATGAACGTAATCACCATTTCAACACACATCATTATTGAGAGCTAACACTGCTAAGGTACTGCTGAAGGGACTGGGAAATTCAGATCAGCGTGAGCAAGGTACATGGGGTTTCTACGGTCTGAATCTTAGTCTGATAGACAGTAGATAGACATTTGAGAAGTTAATTGCTTGGGTACTGACTACTGAGTGTTATAAAGAACCAGGTAATCTGGGGGTCAAGGAAAGCTAGTGGTTTAAAGAAGCAAAATGAATTTGAGTGTTTTTAGCAAGGGTACAGCTCAGGGCAGAGGCACCGAGGTGATGGTGTTCCAGGAACTGAAAGAATGTTGGTGGGACAGAACCACAGGGGCCTTGTAAACAATGTTAAATATGTTAAATTTTCTTATAATTTCAAAGGGAAATCTTTAAAGTTGAGCAGGATAGTGACGTCACGAGATTTACTTTTTTAAAGAGAAAATGTTAGCCCCAGTATGGAGAATAGATTAAATGGACAAGATGCAAGGAGCAGAGACTGGTTGGAAGGCTTTTAATCGAGATGACACCATAGTGACAAGTGGGGTTAGAGAACTGGATGGAATCTAGAGATAGAATCAATGTTGACTGGAAAGCATATCATAGGTACTAAATAAATAATGTTGGATATATTCATGAGGGGAGAGAACGGTCATGGAAGGCTCCTGAAATCCTGTCTTGAGAGGGTGGATTGTTGTTGGTACTGCCTACCAAAATAGGGAATACAACTAGAAGAAATGTTGGGTCCAAAAAGTATGGGGAGGGGAGGCATACTTTCAGGGATAGAACTAAATGGAGAGGATGTCAACAAGGCACTTTATATGGATCTGTACAGAGTTTTAGGGGAGAGAGCTAATCTTAAAGGTTAGAAAATTTTTAGCATAAAGTGGTTATTGAAGCCAGGGAAATAGATGAGGTTGTTTAAGGGATGACAGACTAGCAGCTTATTGGTTGAATTGAATTACTGGTGTTTTAATATTATCATCATCATTGTTATTCACACAATGTTTTTTAAGATGAAGAAATTTAAGACTAAGAAATAGATCTTTTTGGAAATTCCAGTATATAGGGCTACTTTCCTGTGCAAGTAACTGGGTTAGGTCAAATGGAGACTGTCCTCTCTATATGGAATTAGAGCTATCACAGCAGTCCCCAACCCTTTCTTAGACCCAGCTCAGATCATTCATTTTCAATTGGGTTGTTCCTAAAGCATTTGAGTTTGGACTCTTGGTCCACAGGATCAGGACAGAAGAGGGTATAGGACTTTATCTCTGAGAAGTATCGATGTTTATGGGTTGAGTACAAAAGGAAGAACCTGAAAGGACTGTATGGCAGCTGGAGAAAGGAGGAGAGAGGAGTATGACATCAAGGAGGTCAGTGTTTCAAAAGAGAAGGTATGATCAGCAGTGCCAAGTCTGCCAAGTAGTCAAGCGGAATAAAGATTAGGAATGGTCTCTTAGGCTTAGCATCATAGGTGTGTTTGGTAGAAGTGTGAAAGGGAATCTCGCTGCGACTTTCCTTACCCCAGAACGACTCAGGAGACGCGGGCCCAAGCAAGAGATTTTATTATCTAAAAGAGAAAATGGCTGCCCCCAGAGAGAGAAGGCAGCAGCTCATGGGTGAGGAAGCGTGTTTTTAAGGAGTAGGGGTAGGGTGTGTTCTGCGTTGGTGATCAGATTTTAAGGGGTGGGTGACCATCTGGTCGGTGGTGATTGGATCTTAAGGGGTGGGGGTCTTAGCGAGCCAGAATTTGCCTTCATTCCCATCTTTTTCTTTTCTTAATTGGGCCTCTGGGGAACTGGGCGTAGAATCTCATTCTCTAGCTACTTCCTGCTGGAAGGGGGCACAGTTTCTGGGGTTAGCGAGGCCATTACTGTAGAGTTGGGGAAGGGTGGGCATCCTGAGATGATTGGTGATGTCATTTAGCTGGTTTCATTATTCTTTGTGAGAAGGCCTTGATAGCCCTGGAGGAGTAACTGGTTGACAGTATGGTTAGAAATTTTCAAAATTTGATTTTGAATGAATTTTTGGAATAGGTTAATGAAGCAGGGAAGGAAAAGGAGAATAATAATAATAAAAATAATAGGAGCTAGGAGGAGCAGGAGCCAATTTAAGGGGTAAGGGACGGATTGTTAGGGGAGTTTTCTAGGAGTTTGGAGGCTTGTTCATGGAGGTGTTTTGTGCCATCTCAGATGAGACCAGATTTGTTGGTGTAGAAGCACCATTGTTCTTGGAGTAGGGCACATATGTCACCTCATGCAGCTGTAAGGAGGTCCTGTTTGGGTTGTAGAGTAGATTACTGGAGGATTTGTAGTCTGTGGAGTTGAAGGTGTAAGTGGTCCCATTGGAATGGAGGAGAATCGTGAAGAATGCATTTTTGAGGTCAAGGACAGAAAAGTGAGTGATGGAAGCATAAAGTATAGGGGTTAGGGACTACTGGATGGATTGGAATAACATCTGCACTGATAATTCTTAAATCTTGAACTAGCCTGTAAGAGCCATTAGCTTTTTTGACAGCCAGTATCAGGGTGTTGTAAGGGGAATTGGCTGGTCTCAAAAGGCCCTCTCGTAGAAGGGGTATTGAGATTGTGAGGGGAAGGAGGTAGGGTCTTTGAGTTTGATGGTTACGGATGGGCAGGTGGTGATAGAGGAGGTAGAGGTGTCCCAGACTGTGGGGTTTATTTGGCAAGGGGGTAAGGGAAAAGGGGAGGGAGGTGGATCTGGAATGGTTTGGACAGCAAGTAGAAAAGGGGTCGAAGGTGAGTCGGGGTTGAGGCGTGGGCCAAAGGTAAAGGAGATAAGAGCCCCTAGCTTAGATAAAAGATCTCTTCCCATAAGGGGAACCAGACAACAGGGAATCACTAAAAAGGAATGAGAGAGAGTAATGCCTCTAAAGATGCAGTGAAGCATGGGAGTTTGTAAAGGTTGATAAGGTGTGCCCTCTACCCCAACTATAGAGGACTGTGAGAGGGAGGTAGGTCCCCAAAACTCCTTCAGGACTGAGTAGGTAGCCCTGGTGTCCAAAAGGAAAGAGATGGGCCTACCCGCTACCACATGGTTACCCTGAGCTCCTGTACAGTGATGGTAGTGGTCAGGTGGAGGAGTCCCAGGCCCCCTCAATCATCAGTTGCCAGACCCAGAAGGTCTATGTGTGGAGTGTTAGAGCTGGATGGCCTGGCACCTCTCAGTGTGCGAGGACGGTCAACAGCCCAGTGTCCCTCCTGATGGCACTTAGGGCTTGGACCGGGGGGCTTCCGGGGATTTGGGCAGGCTCTAGCCCAATGACCTGTTTGACCTCATTTGAAGCATGGACCAGGAGATCCTCCTGGCTGCTTCTTAGGGAGTGAGGATACCCAAGCACCAGTGGTTGGGGTAGGTTGAAAGGCCTTAGCTGGCATTTGATATTTTTGTTTATGGGCCTTTTCATCTCTTCCATTATATACTTTGAAGGTCACTGCCAGGACTTCTGCCTGAGGAGGTAAGGTCCCTTCTCTAGACGTCTAAGTTTACCCTTAATGGTGGGGAAACTCTGGGTGAAGAAGTAGGTCATTAATAATTGTCTCCCATCTGGGGTCTCAGGGTCTAGGTTTGTATATTGTAAAAGAGCTTTGGCTTTGGTGAGGCGGTCTAGGAACATAGAGGGATTCTCATTTTTATCCTGAATAACCTCTTGGAGTTTTTCATAGTTAATGGCTTTATTGGCTGACTTCCTGAGAGCCACCACGAGGCAGGTGATGAATTGATCTCGACTGGTGACTCCCCCTGCCGTATTATAGTCCCAGTTAGGGTCTTGGTCAGGAACTGCCTCAGCACCAATTGGATGAGCTGGAGTAGTTTGGTGAACTTCATCGGCATGAGTTCTAGCCTGTTCCCAGACTCACCTATGCTCCTCAGGCAAAAGTGTGTTGGGTAGGATCATGTGAATATCATGAAAGGTAAGATCATATGATTGAATTAGATACTGGAACTCTTATGTAAGTAGCTGGGTTGGAGGTGAAAGAGCCTAATCTTTTCTCAATTTGAGATAGGTTGGAGAGAGAGAAAGGGACATGGACCCGGATGACACCCTTTGTACCGGCTACTTCCTGTAGTGGGGCTAGGACTGGAGGGCTTGGCACAGGACTGGGAAAGGAAAGGGAAACTGATTGTGGAGAACGAGGAGGTGCTGTAGCTCCTGCAATGGCACTAGGCGAGCTGGGAGGGTTGGGATTTTGATCTTGCAGAGAAGGAGGTTGGGGCGGGAGAGGAACTGGTGCTTGAGGGGGAGCTGTAGGGGTTTGAGATCGGCAGAGAGGAGGTTCATCAGCAGGGTCAAAGTCAGAGGACATGGTGGGAATTGGTGGGTGATAGGGTGAAGTTTTTTAGAGCGAGGAGATGTTTAGGATTGCAAGGAGATAGAGAGCGGGCTTGGTTTGGAGGTAGGAGA